TAGGGTCTGAAAGAGTTGTTATCATTGACGTGTTCTGAATCGTGTGAGGTATTAGCCAATGAAACGGTCTGTTACAGCGAGCTTTAGGCATGTTTTGCACGAACTGTGGGTAATCCCCTAGTTAATCAAATTTCTGACGTCATAGGCTCACTTGCCGCTCGTATGACCTCTGACGTGACCAGTCAGATCTTCATGTAGGGTAGGTTATCGAAAGTATAAAAAAACGAAACGAAATATTGATCTTCATGTAGGGTAGGTCATCGAAAGTATAAAAAAACAAAACGAAATATCGATCTTTATTTTAATCAGATTGGAATATTTTGAGAGGTGGCCCCTGATAGAAATGTCCTTCATGTACAAATTCAGTTGTAAAAGGCCCAGCAAGATCCATTTTGGGCTCCGAAAATGATCATATGATGAAGTTGAAATTTTGACCCTATGCCATATTTTTTATTTGAGGAACTACCCTGAGGCGGTGTAGGAACTTGGTCTCTTGTCTCTTGACATCCCATTTCCTCATTATGGGCAGCATAATATTTCTGGCATATACACAGAATAGACGAAAAAAATTCTAAATTTAACAAGAATTTTTTAATGCTGCCAAAGTTAAAAAAAGCAGAGAGCTGGCCTTAAGTAAAGATATTACAGCTATATCAGATTCAATGCAGCTGGTTTGAGGACTTCTGAATCCCATCGCTTAACTCAGTCAACTGGAGTATCACCGCACAACTTTTTTCTGCTAATTTGATTGTGGTCGAGCACACACACAAGGTTTCCATCGATATTTCAAAGACACAATTTGTTCCTTCTTTTTTCCAATAGTATTTTATTTCACATAGCCATTCCAATAGGAATCAGTTGATTCCAAGTGACACAACAAGGTCTTTGTATGGCTTCTCCTTAGATGTGGCAGCATGCATCCTTTTGGAATATTCCATTTAATGCAGCTTCGTCAAGAAATCAACTCCCATTCGGTTCTCACATCACTTATTGCTATGTTATGTGCTAAAAGGGGGGCCTTAATGTCCTTAGTACATTTTTTCAATTGTATGAAGTGATTCTCTTGGTCATATCTGGGATATATACCACATTTAATGGCCAAACATGAGGCAAACCACAATTTTGAGCGCTTTCGGACACGGCCATCTTGGATTGGATGCCAAGACTCATCAAAGAGACTAGTTTTGCTCGAGGGGGTTTCAAGCTGCTACCAGTGAGCACGGGCGAATGATTTGGGGAAGAAACGGAGAGAGCTGGCTTACCCCGAATGAAAGTAGTTGGCCATTTCATAGAGCATGCGAGATTTACAATAGGGAAAATTCACCAACTTTGACTTATGATTTCGCATTGATTGAAGAGAGGTGACAGAGATTTTATTTCTTATATCGATAGAGGGAGTCGAGCTGTTCATAAAACCATTTCGATATTTTTACCTACCCCCGCATCATAGAAAATAGAGCTAATCTTCGCAGGTGTATATTTTCTGTTTTATTCACCATATCTTAAAATTTTCCTGATCATTGCTCACAGAGAATAGATGTGACTTTATGGTCTTCACACTGGGGCACAGGAAGACCCCCACTAACATCACCAATCACCACCATTTTCATCCAAACCCTAGACTCGCCACAATAGGTGGCTGAAAATTGACCAAAAATTACCTGAAAAATGGCAAAATTGGCCAAAAATCACCAAGAGGCTGTTTCTCAATAACGGTGAAATTTTGATATCGGCCCTTCTGGCTGTGAAGTAGTCAGGGGGAGTCCATAAAATCCTCCGGAGATGAACTCGATCTGCCGACCCCCCATCTTCCAGATTCTGAATGATTTTGCATGGTTTTCTCATGGAATGACTCTTAATCAGTTGATTATAGTCGGTTTCCATCGCTTGATGTTTGGAAAAGCCAATTGATAAAAGAATTATTAAAATATAGGGATTTACTATATTTAGTGAATTGGAACAAATTTTTCTAACGTTTAAAGGAGCTAAATCACTAATATTTGTGACCTAGAAATTGACACAAATGGGTCGCAGCGCATATAATAATGTTATATGAATGTATATAAACTGATTTACATTCAATCGTTTTCGTTTTTACTCTAATTTCAAATCATGATCAGTTATTTTCGGCGAAATATGCCAGAAGTCTCAATTGAATGTCAATCTCTAGCATCTGGTTAGTCCAGTCTACACCGATAGTATTTATAGCACATTCTCTCCAGATAAGAATATGGCCTCACCATTTGACATGACTTGTGGAATATGTCTAGCCTCGTTCTTCGAGTCCCTTACCAAATGACGCTGAAACGCATTATGGTACATGATTCGTGTACCAATCGTAAAGTGTTTATTATGTGTTATATATATGGATATCAGAAGCACATCTTTTCAAGATACAATAACAACACCAATGTTGATTTAAATTGACAAAAAAATTGTGTTTTCAATGTCGAAGACTTTGGATGATACTGAGTTAGAGACTTAGCTACTTTAAATGGGGACACCGTGGGATTAAAGTCATAAACACTTGTGACAAATTTGCATTTTGCCACATGTTTAACATTCCTAAATTTGTATTAACCGCTTTTACTCTCGTCTCAGTAAACTTACTTTGATAGCGTTGCATAGAAAGGCACGATGTCGTATGATATTTTTTGTAGGGAAAACATTCAATTTTTACTTGCCTTACACTGCCTTGGTCATATTTTGCATGTGCCTGAAATACTTTAGTAGTTTTTATACGCCCACATTTTCATGTGGACGTATATTGTCGTCGCCCCTGTCCGTCCGTCCACAATTGTTTGTGAACAGTCTACAGGTCACAATTTTTATCCGATTTCAACGAAACTTGATATATAGGTTTATCACCCTCAGATCTCGGTTCCTTTCGATATTGGCATGTATCGGACCGTCACTCCATGGATTATGGCCCCTGATTGTACGAAAAATCACATTTTTAGCTTGTGAACACTGTAGAGGTCACAATTTTTATCCGATTTGGTTTAAACTTGAAATGTATGCTTATAACCCAAAGATCTCGGTTCCTTTCGATATTCGAAAAATTGCGTTTTTAGCTTGTGGACCCTATAGAGGTCATAATTTTTATCCGATTTAAAAAAACCTATTATTATATCACCGTTACACCCCAAGGACGACTGAGTTCGAATTACATGAAAATCGGACTAAAACTGACAGACAAAATGGCCGCCATTCGTTCTCATAGCGTAAAAATATGGTATATCAAGGTTGTGGACCCTATAGAGGTCACAATTTTTATCTGATTTTGTTCAGACTTGAAATGTAAGGTTATAACAAAAAGATCTCGGTTCCGTTCGATATTCGCGCATATCGGACCGTAACTTCATGAATTATGGCCCCTGATTGTACAAAAAATCGTGTTTTTAGCTTGTGGACCCTATAGAGGTCATAATTTTTATCGGATTTAAAAAATCGTATTATTATATCACTGATACACCCTAAGGACGGCTGAGTTCGAATTTCGTGAAATTCAGCCCAAAATTGACAGACAAAATGGCTGCTCTTCGTTCTCAAATAGCGTAAAAACATGGTATATCAAGGTTGTAGACTCTATAGAAGTCACAATTTTTATCTGATTTTGTTGAAACTTGAAATGTAAGTTTATAACCCAAAGATCTTGGTTCCTTGCGATATTCGCGCATATCAGACTGTAACTTCCTGAATTATGGCTCCTGATTGTAGGAAAAATCACTTTCTTTTTAGCTTGTTCTCTATCCATCTCTCGAAAATGTGGGCGTATTCTGCCTGGCAGCCGCTGGTTGGGAGAGGTAGTCAATTTTAATGTTAAGTAGGGTAATCAAGGGGAGTTAACTCTATTTCATGATTAAAATCGAGTTTTACTTATTACTTATTTAAATAGGTATATTTTGATATTATTTATGTTTCAAAATCTTTAATTTTATATATTTGAACTATGTTTATTTAGTTTTATGTGAGACTTTACCATTAAGATATTTATAACATATAGTTGTCATGTGGCTATGTATTATATGTAAAGTAGTATTCTCTCAGGTGGTACGATACTTTCTGGATAATCAGATCACTGTTGAATGGATTGTCTACGGGGGTATTGTCTACGAGTATAATAAGTGTATGTGAGTTTTTGATGTCATTAAATTTTATGTGGTAATAGATGTGTATTGTTCTTCGTCCATAACTAGGTGAATGGTAGATGTCACCCTTACTTCGCGTCTACGTATAAACTACTTGTGCCGTGATCATTTGTCAGTGTCATTGCGTGTAACACACTTAACCTCAAAATATAATATTAAATATAAAAGAATATAAATTAGTCAAGTTATTTCCTTAAAAAATACATTCACTGCAAGAGGAAATGAATAATAACACCATTTAAATCTGGATAAAACATGTACATTGTGCAACCATTTTATATAACCAATTGGTTACGCAATGGTCATCTGGCATAACCAAAGAAAATGGTTACGCAGAGCATCAACCCACAACCATTTTTTTGGTTACGCCAAAATTTGAAATTTCGTGGCCTGCCTTTTGATAATCACACATTAAATAGTTGTGGATTCTCTAGATATATCAGCTTTCCATCGAAATGAAGGTTAGATTGGAATTTCGGGAAAATCGAAATGAAAGTGCCTGACAAAATGGTCGCTCTGTATGCAAATTGTGTATAAGTATGTAATACAAAGGTTATGTACCCTCTAGAGGTCACAATTTTTATCTGATTTTGATGAAACTTAAAAAATATCTTTATATTCCAAAAATCTGAGTCCCTTTTGATATTTGCACATTTCAGAGCATAAATTTCTGGATTATGGCCCCTGATTGTATGAAAATCATTTTTGTTTTTAGCTTGTTCTCTATCCATCTCTTGCAAAATGTGAGCGTATCCTGCCTGGCAGCTGCTGGTTTCATTATGGTTCAAAACAACAAGATGTTTTATTGAATATTTATTAATTCGGATAAATGTTGTCTTTATTTAACAGGTAAAGAGAAAAGTCAAGACTAAAGTGATGGGTGTTTTAGATATTTATGGTTTTGAAGTTTTTCAGGTACACTAGCTAACTTAGGCTACTTATAATTATCATCGTCGTCATCATTTATATGGAATACAATCACTTGTAGATGAGATGATCATAGGTTATAAGATCGGTATCTATCAGACTTGCCAATAAATAGTCATATTTACCAAAGTATTGACCAATATTCAATTTTAGAGAAATCATTTATGAAAAAATATATTCCAGCGCCCCTCGGGCACAGTAAACTGGATTTGTATTAGAAAAACATTCCTTAAATAGTTGGTTTTAAGTGGATCATATGTACTTGACAAGTCCAATTTTTACCCCAAAAAATGAACTGGGCCTGTTTGTGATAATTTTAATCCAAACCAAAGGTAGCGTGCCCCATGCAGCGAAAAGTGGCTTGTCTCGAAGTGATTTCTGGCTAGTCATGCAGTCAGCGCAAGTGTCTAATATGAGTCTATCAACTATTACAGCTGTAAAAAAATCTGTTGTTGACGATTCTGAATAGCGGTCATATTTACTTTTTACTTTTACATGGTTCTTAAAACAATTGTTGAGTTGCCTAACGTGCGTGCTTCTAAATTCAATTTCTTGTTCCAGCTTTCTGTTGTTTCTTAAAAAAGTAGTCCTGATTATATTATTCCGGCCTGTCAATCAGACGGAGAATGGTCGGTAAACTGGTTAAGCGAGACTGATTTCAAAACAAGGGCACATAAATTAGTTTTTAATCAAATGTTATGGCTGATACTCGTAACCATTTTTCAGTCCATTATTTATTGATGGTTAAATGGTCATAGCTTATTAAGTACAACATGACCGTTTATTTAATTAGTGACTATAAATGTGCGAAACTGATTTAAGGCTTGGTATATATATATATATATATATATATATATATATATATATATATATATATATATATAAATATTGTGGTGTATTTGTCGAGATATTTGGAGATAGTTATTTATGGTGGAGCACCCTACCAAAGGCATTACTCCTGGGAACAAATAATAATAAAAGCCCACCTACTGGGATGATCTTGTAAACGAACAGGTTATGAAGACCTGGTTATCCCGAACGTCAGTGACTAGTTTCGTTCGTATTGAACTCTTCAGACTGATTGGACTCACGTATTGGGCGTTTTTATTTATACTATTCCGAAACCCCGGTGAAGTTTCTATGGTTACTAATTGGCGGGGTTACCGGGGTTGACCCCTTGGCGGGGTTTGCGAATGTGTTACCGGGGTCGGTAGCTCGCTTACCGGGGTTGTACAGAGGTTTGACAAATTGGCGGGGTGCCGAATTTGTTACCGGTGTAGCTAGCTCGCTTACCGGGGTTGTACTAATCGTTTAGATTGAAACTAGTCACTGACATTCAGGATAACCAGGTCTTCATAGCCACCTTATCTCTTATAATTATCTCACTCTCTGCTTACGATCTCGTTATGGCAAATTTTGTTGATCAAATCGGTCGGTCGTGATTCCTTCTCTTGCCTCGGAATCAACCACCATTTTGACGGAAGATATTCTCTCGGCTAAAAAATCTTCTTTTTCTCTCAACTACGAGAGATACGTAGAATCAAACCGGTCCAGAGCCGATCGTGTTGATAAGAATCTGCTTATTTGACATTGACATATAACCGAAGGTGAATAGGCCTACTCGTCCAGTTAACACAACGGACAATCTCACATCGGTCCACATAAGAGAGACACATATCAGTCGCCTCCAACTTTCAATTTCCAAGGCATTATAGTCTAAACCTTGACTCTCATTGCAATAAACCATTTGGTACTATTTCGTACCTATTTTATATTAAACCCCTTGGGCGCCATGTTGAATCACACAGTATTTAACGTTCTAAAACCTAAACACTTCATGGAATCAACGACAAATCTAAACTTGGGCACTCCAACCATTTTATTTTTGTATCATAATAATATTTACTATTTTTCCCATTCCAGAACAACAGTTTTGAACAGTTTATTATCAACTATTGTAATGAGAAACTACAACAGATATTTATTGAACTTACTTTAAAAGAAGAACAAGAAGAATATGTAAAAGAAGTTTGTAGATTTTATATTTTTTATTCATTTAATATTATTTGAGTTTTATACGCCCACATTTTCATGTGAACGTATACTGAGCGCCATGGAAAACGCATCACTTAGTTTTTCGTATAACAAAATGATCCTGTAAACATATCTTATTTATTTTGCTTCTTATTGTAAACAATATTCAAATAGGAACACATCAATAACAACACATTTGTACACTTATGGATGTTTAATCTGTAATCAACGGTACAAAGTCAGAGGGGTCAAAACCAAAAGTACGACACAGATGTCAGTAGCGCGTGTGTCCTCCACGGGCTCTTACGCACGCTGTGCAGCTAGGTCGCATGGAATTTACCAATGTTTGAAAGAAGGCCTGGGGCAAATTGTTCTATTCTTGGACAAGAGCAGCTTCTAAAGCAGCAATGGTGTGCATCTGTGGTCTCTGATACAGATGGCGTCCAATCTCATCCCAGACATGTTCTATCGGTGCCATGTCCGGAGACATGGCTGGCCAGTCCAAGACATTGATGTTGTTAGCAGCCAGGTAGTCCATACTAAAACGGGCGGTATGCGGACGTGTATTATCCTGTTGGAAGTGCTGAAGTTGTGGGTGCACTCGAAACATCAGAACAACAATTGGTTGCAAGACATCATCACGGTAGGCTACAGCATTGATGCGACCCCTGCAAATATGTAGGGCGGTCCGGTGATGAAATGTGAAGCCTCCCCACACCATTACACTTCCCCCACCCCATCGATTCGTTTTGAAGACGCAGCAGTCTGCAAGACGTTCCCCAAGATGTCTCCACACACGTTGACGGCCATCAGCGTAGGCTACAGCATTGATGCGACCCCTGCAAATATGTAGGGTGGTCCGGTGATGAAATGTGAAGCCTCCCCACACCATTACACTTCCCCCACCCCATCGATTCGTTTTGAAGACGCAGCAGTCTGCAAGACGTTCCCCAAGATGTCTCCACACACCTTGACGGCCATCAGCGTGATAAAGATGAAAGCGACTCTCATCACTGAAGAGCACACTTTGCCAGTCTACTCTTCTCCATGTCTGGTGTCCTTGAGCCCATATCAAACGCCGCTGACGGTGATGATCCCTGAGGATAGCTCCAATATAAGGAGTCCTACTTCTCTTAGACGACGTCTTACGGTGTTGGCACTTACTGGTCCTTGTTTTCCGACGACTGCTGCACCTGTTCGAGTCGCTGGGCGGAATCTGTCACGCAGATGAGTGACCCGGATGTAGCGGTCTTGAGCCTGGGTTGTAACGCGTTGTGGACCAGGACGTTGACGGTCATGTGTTGATCCAGTAACTTGAACACATTCCACCAACCTTACAATAGTGGAGTGATGACAATTGAAGTGTCTGGCAATAGCACGTGTAGACATGCCAGCCCTGGACATTCCCATGGCTTCATTCCGTTGATTTTCAGTAAGTCTCGGCATCTCTTGCTCGATTCCTTCACACGTCCAACAACAAATTACGACAGATTGACGTTTCACGGTTCATGTACTGCACATTAAGTTGAAAACATGCTTTTAAAGGGCTCACACACAATGCTGCACGTGAATATTGGATTTTTCATGTGCATCTCGTGCAATATTTTTTTGTGCACACGTGCCGTTGTTTTTTGCGTTTGGGAGCATTGTGTGAAACAATAGTTCATAGTATTGCATAATATTATACATACAAAACCACCTAGTTATAAAATATTTGGGAAAAAAAGTGATTCACACTCTACAGGTCACAATTTCTATCAGATTTGGATGAAACTTGAAATATAGAGTCATTCCATGTCACGTGGGTCAATTTTCCGAAAGTTGAGAAATCGACCCCCTCGAAAAAATTTGGAAAAATATATATGTTATTGTATATGTAAAAACTAAAAACTGTGCAAAATTTGTGGTCTGTATCATGAAAATTGACTGAGGTACGGGCATTTGAGTTTATATGTATCAATAAATTACTTGAGTTTCAGATATCTTGTTTTTACCGTTCTAGTGAAGATATAGGGCTCAAATTTGGTAGTCTGAAGGAACTTTTTGTGTAGATTATGAATCTGCAATCAGATTACAAGTGAGTGGTAGCTTTCGCATGCTATTGCTCAGGGTTCACACTGGCTTTCAATTTTTTTCCGACAAAATGAATAATAATTTTTATATAAAAAAATGTTCATATTTTTTTTCTGCCAACTGAAATATTTTATTTGCCAAAAATGTGTAATCACATGTAACAATTTTATTTCATTACCGGTATACAATGTACAACAACTTACAAAATCCGTCGTTACATAAAACATTAGCCCAGTTTTAAGATGATTTACTAAAATCAGACTCTATTTTTGGTGACTTTAGTCTTTTCACACACTGTATTGCACAATATATTTTCAGTATTTTACGTCAGATCTCATCTAAGGATTGTCAATTTTCTATAAATTTATGTTTTGCCTGTAAACTATGGTTATTGTTATTTTCAGGTACCATAACAGTATCTGATTACTAATTGAATGATAGAAATTTCAATTACATTTGTAAATAAAGCGTTTTGGTGGCCGTAATGAAATATATGATGGACTGTTTTCTCACTCGAGAATTGTCGCTATTAGAGTCATTCTTATGTTTCCGACCAGTGGTTATAATATAATTCGAAATAATAATATCCGATTAGGGCATGCTTGTATATTTTGCATGCCATATGAAGCCACAGTAAACGGAATTCAACTGTCAAAATATTTAATTCTCTTCGAAAATGATCGTCGGCCATTTTGATTATTCCCATTTATTTTTTTTAAGACGAAACGAAACATCAAATAATCACCACTTGGATTAATTATTAGGAGTAAATAATGACTTGAAACAGGCTTTATATATATCATCGCCATTTCTCAAAAAGAAATACCAGTACCCTAAAACCATTTCACCAAAATTATTGCCATTATCAAATTTTAATCGCTATTTTCATATTTTTATCACAAATTGCCTCTTTGACGACCGACAGCGTTAGCCCTGCTATTGCTACTTGGCCATGGGGTGGGGGTGGGGTAATTGTATATTTTCTTGATTTTGTTGTGCTCCAGCAGCTACAAAGTAATAGATATAGACTCAAATTTTGGCCTATCTAGAGATTGCCAATAGTACTTCGTAAGAAACATGAAAATGCATCAGTTTTCACTAGATTCCCAGAAATTTGACCTTGAATATGGTTTCAGACAAAAAATTTATAAAATTGCCTCGTATTTTGGAGCCGATTGAACCCGGTAGGTGAGCAACTAAAAATCTGAAACTTTGTGGAATTATAGTTTGTGTTTATGTCTCTAGCACATTTTAAAACCATTCTTGTCGCATGCCATCTCAATATTTTTTTCGATTTTTTCAAAATCTCTGTTTTGGGTCATTCCATGTCAATTATCACCCAAAGAGTTAAAATGTACCTCCTTCGATTTTGCCGAAATTTGGTTTATATGCTTATTAGGGCTGAAAAACCTGATATTCCAAATTTTAGCGTGATCTGACGAAAGGTTCCTGAGATACGGATTCGGCTAAAATGAGCCTAGCCTCCATTATTAAAATGACCATAACCCAGAATCTGGAATATGTATTTCTGGAATGGGAAAGAGGATGACTTGCTGTTTGGATCATGTTTATCTATCTTTAGGAAAGTCTACAGCAGGTTGTCAGTGTTGCTAATTCAAAAATTTTCTTGTCTGACATTTTTACCAAAAATAAAGGGGCATAACTCTTATAGTTATCCAAGTAGGTGGTTTCATGTGTCAACAAAATATTCAAATTCATACGTAATGAAATAGATAGGTACACCTCGTTATTTTTCATATTTAATTCCCGTATGGTGTTCAAATTTATGTCGGTAATATTCCTACAAAATTATGTGTTGTCGTAATACGATAGAATGAAAGCGTGCCAACTACTGCCGACCCATACATTTTTTCAAATTCACACCAGTCTAAAACAATTAAATATTTAAACTATTCCAATCTAAATATTTGTCGACTAGCTTGTTAATTTCTTTATTTTAAAACATAAATCCCATTCAAAATATATGTGTGTGTGTGTGGAATAGCTTTATTGTCCCCCGCCTTTTGAAGAAAGCAGGGGACTATTAAGTTAGATTCGTTCATCTGTCTGTCAGTCTGTTGGTCCGTCATACTTTTTGGGACACAATAACTCCTTCCAATTGAGCTAGAATGTTCAAACTTGGTGTAGGTGTTTATTAGGTGAATGCCTTGATGGAGTTCGAAGATGAGCTTTTTCTGCTTAGGGTAAGCAGAGATAAGCAATTTGATTGGTTGATGTTTTGGGACACGATAACTTTAGTTTTATGAATAATCCCAAGAAGGAGACAATAAAACCTCACACTTGATAGGAAAAGAAGGGCGGAAGAGTCCCCATAACAGTGCAGGCAAGTTTGGATCTCAGTGATGCATCGGAGGAAAAACAGGAACCATTCCTTGTAGATAAATCATAGTAAAAAAATCCCCGCTAACAAGACTGTGTAGATATAAAAAGCGTTTGCCCATTATCAACTGGTTACAAAAATGATCACGTTACCAGGTATATATAGACAATAGAATTATTGCGCATGCACATAACGTTGAGGAATATTAATCCCTATACTGGGATTATAAAAATAATAATGATTTAAATATAGACAAATTAAGATCATTAATGTACATAAAAATTTTAAATAATGATAAATATGAATAAAAATTGATGTACAGACAAAATTTAGAATATACGTATGGAGTTTGCTGCGATTGGTCTCTAAACTGCGTGGTTAGGAGTAGTTTCGTAGCTGGTGGTTCAGCTCTCTGGATTGTGAAATCGGTGATGCTGATGGGCGGTAGATTGTATTCCGAGTAAATAGAAGGGTTGTTGGTCACCTCTATGAATATAAATGGATTCTGTAGTTTAGAGGGCCACGTGAGAAAAATGTACGAAGTATAGATAAGATAGTTGAGGCTTAAAGGTGCAGTTGTCCAAAAAATAGTTTCTCTAAAAATAAACTGCCGATTAGGTTTCAACAGATATTCCTCGATTTGGTATGTACTGTTGGTATTTATTCTTCTTAAGGATGAAGTTCGGCTTTCTAAATAAAACCCAATTGTGTATAGATTTATCTTCCAATTTCTGTATAAATTAATTATTGGTATTTATGGAGCGCTTATGTTGAAACTTTAAATTTGTTCTTCTTAAAAAGGTGATTTCGATTATATTAAGTTTTGGAATTTTGTCGAAAAAAAATAGACCTGTGGTATGTAGCAGAGGAGAGTTTGACATTTTTATACGCCCACATTGAAATGTGGTCGTATATTGTTGTCGCCCCCGTCCGTCCGGATAAAGTTAATATCCGATTGACTTTAAATTTATATACAGTGTTTAAGCCCATGAGACGAAGAAGCCTATTGATTTTCAGAAATTTCCGATAATTACTGCCAGAGTTATGGCCCTTGATCACTTCAAAAGTCATGTTTCAGTCATTAAATATTGTCACAAAATTGGACGTTTGCTTCTTTTTGGGGCGGATTGACAGTCAAGTACTTATAGTTCACATTAACAAAAACACAGTATAATTTAAATATCTTTATATAACTACAATACATGTATATCAATACAATTATAAGATATATATATATATATTTATGTAATTATTCTCTAATAATATCACCGATTCAAAATACCACTAATCACATTTATATGTTGATGAGATGACGATTAGTTGGTGGTACACGCGCACACAGCAGTCACTAACTATTTGGCTCACCACGGCACATTTAAGAAGATGATTAAGATGATAAGGTTGATAAGTTATTCGTGTATATCTTTTAATTACCAAAAAAATAACTAACTGGAACAATAACGACCAGAGTAACAATATAGGTAACAGTATCTGTAGCACATTAAGATTATCAGAATCAGAATACCTATAAAACATAACACAATGTTTAACAAATAATCAAATTATTTCTATACATCCACGATTATCAACATTACAAAAATCAAACAATAATTACAAGTAAATGTACTAATTATTGCTCATAATCACACAGATTACCATTATAACGACACACAGTCAAAACCAACGAGACACACAGTCAAACACCCATTTAGTTGAAATATCTTTACGAATGATTCATGAATGATATGATCAATGAATATGTGTGATTCTCCCACCACGTATACTACAGTTTCACTCACAACCAATCAAATCACGACAACAAAACAGGCAGTTCACATGCATTCAATGCAATCATACCTGCAACCAGACATGTGAATTACTCAACCTTGGCAAATATTAACTATCATACATCTTACAAATAACAATAAAATCAAATGTTTATAAATCAAACTTTATTACCACAATCTGAAAACATGTTCAGTTGTCATAAACTGTAATAAACAACAATAACATATATACTATATTTATTAATGTACAAATACTTGTGACCTTGAAACATTCAGCAATACCAGCGTGAATATATATGTATTATTCAGTACATCCACGACAAACCACATTGTAACCTATCTTTATCTAATCAAGATATTGTCATAGTGACAAATATAATAAATTGACATTTTACACCACCAACTTGAGTTCCTTTTTATATGCCCACATTGAAATGTGGTCGTATATTGTCGTCGGTCCGGCGTCCACAATTGCTTGTGGATGCTGTAGAGGCCAAAGTTAATATCTGATTGACTTTAAATTTATACACAGTGTTTAAGGTCATGAGACGAAGAAGCCTATTGATTTTCAGCGATTTCCGATAGTTACTGCCAGAGTTATGGCCCTTGATCACTTCGAAAAATCTTGTGGACACTCTAGAGGCCAAAGTTAATATCCGATTGACTTTAAATTTATACACAGTGTTTAAGGTCATGAGACGAAGAATCCTATTGATTTCTGATAATTACTGCCAAAGTTATGGCCCTTGATCACTTTGTGACACTCTAAAGGCTAAAGTTACCATCCGATTGACTTCAGATTGATACACAGAGTTTAAGGTCTAGGTAAAATTTTCCCAAAACTTTCAATTACTAATAATACATACAGTAGTTGCAATAGTAGTATGAATGGGTTGAATGGTCGAACTGTTCTAATCTAGTTCGGTTGTACGTGGCAAGGAGTAGGGTCGCCTGTCCAACCTCGTGGGTTTTCTCCGGGTCCTCCGGTTTCCTCCCACTGCTAAAGACCCCTACGCACAAGCAAATTATGTAAATAAGATTAAACCATATGTTAGTCCCGAAATGACCTAGTTTGTGTCGAGTGGACGTTAAACCCCATTTCTCTCTCTCTCTCTCTCTCTCTCTAATCTAGTTAAAATCATCTCGAGCATCTGATGGCATTGAGAGTTGATTATGGTCTTGTCATGTTTGTATAATAATTTGTATAACATTTAAGACCTGCAATAGCCAAATCTAGCTCTTCAATAAGAGCTGTACTACCAAAAATACTGCTACAATAAAGTTATTAATCTACTTCTTTCTTGATGATTATATTCTCTGCTGTACTTTGTGTTTTTAGGGTATCAAATGGATTCAAGTGGAATATTTTAACAATGCTGTTATCTGTGATCTAATTGAAAAAGTAAGTTATTTTAGTAGTTACACTTGTCATCACTTTAAAACTGATTATAGGAATTGCTATTTGCATCAAATGATTATGTTGTAATGTTAATGTTATTGTTATATTCACAGGCCCACATTTTCATGTGGACGTATATTGGCGTCGCCCCTGTTCGTCCGTCCACAATTGTTTGTGGACACTCTATAGGTCACAATTCTTATCCGATTTTGATGAAACTTAAAATATAGGTTTATCTCCAAAAGATCGCGGTTGCTTTCGATATTGGCATGTATCGGACCGAAACTTCATGGATTATGGCCCCTGATTGTACGAAAAATCACACTTTTAGCTTTGTGGACTCTATAGGTCATAATTTTTATGCGATTTAAAAATACGTTTGAGTATATCACCGTTACAACCTAAGGATGGTTGAGTTTGAATTTCGTAATTCTTTGCTACATTCGTCATTGAAAACATTTTAACAGACTGAATTTGATTGTAAAATACTTGAAGCCAATAACGTTCGGACATATCTTACTCAACAAGGGTTGGACATAAAATTGTCCAAAATTCTTGGCTACATTCGTCATTGAAAATATTCTAACACACTGAATCTGATTTCAAAATACTTGAAGCCAATAACGTTTGGACATTTCTTACTCATCAAGGGTTGGACATAAAATTGTCCAAAATTCTTGGCTACATTCGTCATTGAAAATATTCTAACACACTGAATCTGATTTCAAAATACTTGAAGCCAATAACGTTTGGACATTTCTTACTCATCAAGGGTTGGACATAAAATTGTCCAAAATTCTTGGCTACATTCGTCATTGAAAATATTCTAACAGACTGAATCTGATTTTAAAATACTTGAAGCCAATAAAGTTTGGACATATCTTACTCATCAAGTGTTGGACATAAAATTGTCCAAAATTCTTGGCTACATTCTTCATTAAAAATATTCTAACAGACTGAATTTGATTGTAGAATACTTGAAGCCAATAAAGTTTGGACATATCTTACTCATCAAGTGTTGGACATAAAATTGTCCAAAATTCTTTGCTACATTCGTCATTGAAAACATTTTAACAGACTGAATTTCATTGTAGAATACTTGAAGCCAATAAAGTTTGGACATATCTTACTCATCAAGTGTTGGACATAAAATTGTCCAAAATTCTTGGCTACATTCGTCATTGAAAATATTCTAACAGACTGAATTTAATTGTAGAATACTTGAAGCCAATAACGTTTAGACATATCTTACTCATCAAGGTTTGGACATAAAATTGTCCAAAATTCTTGGCTACATTCGTCATTGAAAATATTCTAACAGACTGAATCTGATTTTAAAATACTTGAAGCCAATAAAGTTTGGACATATCTTACTCATCAAGTGTTGGACATAAAATTGTCCAAAATTCTTGGCTACATTCGTCATTGAAAATATTCTAACAGACTGAATTTAATTGTAGAATACTTGAAGCCAATAACGTTTAGACATATCTTACTCATCAAGGTTTGGACATAAAATTGTCCAAAATTCTTGGCTACATTCGTCATTGAAAATATTCTAACAGACTGAATCTGATTTTAAAATACTTGAAGCCAATAACGTTTGGACATTTCTTACTCATCAAGGGTTGGACATAAAATTGTCCAAAATTCTTGGCTACATTCGTCATTGAAAATATTCTAACACACTGAATCTGATTTCAAAATACTTGAAGCCAATAACGTTTGGACATTTCTTACTCATCAAGGGTTGGACATAAAATTGTCCAAAATTCTTGGCTACATTCGTCATTGAAAATATTCTAACAGACTGAATCTGATTTTAAAATACTTGAAGCCAATAAAGTTTGGACATATCTTACTCATCAAGTGTTGGACATAAAATTGTCCAAAATTCTTGGCTACATTCTTCATTAAAAATATTCTAACAGACTGAATTTGATTGTAGAATACTTGAAGCCAATAAAGTTTGGACATATCTTACTCATCAAGTGTTGGACATAAAATTGTCCAAAATTCTTTGCTACATTCGTCATTGAAAACATTTTAACAGACTGAATTTCATTGTAGAATACTTGAAGCCAATAAAGTTTGGACATATCTTACTCATCAAGTGTTGGACATAAAATTGTCCAAAATTCTTGGCTACATTCGTCATTGAAAATATTCTAACAGACTGAATTTAATTGTAGAATACTTGAAGCCAATAACGTTTAGACATATCTTACTCATCAAGGTTTGGACATAAAATTGTCCAAAATTCTTGGCTACATTCGTCATTGTAAATTTTCTAACAGACTGAATCTGATTTTAAAATACTTGAAGCCAATAAAGTTTGGACATATCTTACTCATCAAGTGTTGGACATAAAATTGTCCAAAATTCTTGGCTACATTCGTCATTGAAAATATTCTAACAGACTGAATTTAATTGTAGAATACTTGAAGCCAATAACGTTTAGACATATCTTACTCATCAAGGTTTGGACATAAAATTGTCCAAAATTCTTGGCTACATTCGTCATTGAAAATATTCTAACAGACTGAATCTGATTTTAAAATACTTGAAGCCAATAAAGTTTGGACATATCTTACTCATCAAGTGTTGGACATAAAATTGTCCAAAATTCTTGGCTACATTCGTCATTGAAAATATTCTAACAGACTGAATCTGATTTTAAAATACTTGAAGCCAATAAAGTTTGGACATATCTTACTCATCAAGTGTTGGACATAAAATTGTCAAAAATTCTTGGCTACATTCGTCATTGAAAATATTCTAACAGACTGAATCTGATTGTAGAATACTTGAAGCCGATAAAGTTTGGACATATCTTACTCATCAAGTGTTGGACATAAAATTGTCAAAAATTCTTTGCTACATTCGTCATTGAAAACATTTTAACAGACTGAATTTGATTGTAAAATACTTGAAGCCAATAACGTTCGGACATATCTTACTCAACAAGGGTTGGACATAAAATTGTCCAAAATTCTTGGCTACATTCGTCATTGAAAATATTCTAACACACTGAATCTGATTTCAAAATACTTGAAGCCAATAATGTCATGAAAAACACATCCCAATTTCAGTTGTTCTTGGGTATACCCAACAAGTCCCTAAGTACCCAACAAGTGTCCATTGTACTAAAATTTGACCCAACAGATAGCCATTCGTAAACACGTCCGTCATCATATCTTACTCAACAAGGGTTGGACATAAAATTGTCCAAAATTCTTGGCTACATTCGTCATTGAAAATATTCTAACACACTGAATCTGATTTCAAAATACTTGAAGCCAATAACGTTTGGACATTTCATACTCATCAAGGGTTGGACATAAAATTGTCCAAAATTCTTGGCTACATTCGTCATTGAAAATATTCTAACAGACTGAATCTGATTTTAAAATACTTGAAGCCAATAAAGTTTGGACATATCTTACTCATCAAGTGTTGGACATAAAATTGTTCAAAATTCTTGGCTACATTCGTCATTGAAAATATTCTAACAGACTGAATCTGATTTTAAAATACTTGAAGCCAATAAAGTTTGGACATATCTTACTCATCAAGTGTTGGACATAAAATTGTCCAAAATTCTTGGCTACATTCGTCATTGAAAATATTCTAACAGACTGAATCTGATTGTAGAATACTTGAAGCCGATAAAGTTTGGACATATCTTACTCATCAAGTGTTGGACATAAAATTGTCCAAAATTCTTTGCTACATTCGTCATTGAAAACATTTTAACAGACTGAATTTGATTGTAAAATACTTACTCAACAAGGTTGGACATAAAATTGTTCAAAATTTTTGGGAAATCCTTACCTTATAATTCTGCACTATGAGGAGAGCTGTTTCAAAAACAGTAACAAACAATTGAATCAACCTGCAAGATAATGATTTGCATTCAATCAAGTATTAATTCTAGAGTTTATACAACATGCATTATCCTAATCCCTTGAAATTTGCCTCTCTGAAACCCTAATTTGACCAAAAATAACAATACCTCGGAGCACCCAGTTAATTCAGTTTTTTATTATACGTCCACATTCATAATGTGAACGTATTATGCCGTCGCCCCTGTCTGTGTGTGTGTGTGTGTGTATGTATGTATGTGTGTGTGTGTGTGTGTGTGTGTGTGTGTGTCTGTGGTTCGCCTACAGGGCGCAATTCTTCATGGATTTTCTTCAAACTTGGTATACTTATTCCTTATACCCCAAGGAAGATCCCTATTGTTTTTGGTGCATGCCCGACCCCCCGGGGCAGAGCCACGCCCATTTCTAGTATTTGTTTGTTTGTCGTCTACAGGCCACATTTCTTAACTAATAATCTTGAAACTATGCATACTTATTCTTTGTACCCTAAGGAACATCCCTATCGTTTGGGGTGCATGCCCGACCCCAAGGGGCAGAGCCACGCCCACTTTCTTTTCTTTGTATGTCTGTGTGTCGCCTATAGGCCACAATTCTTAATCAATCGTCTTGAAAATTTTTCATATGAATTGCTTATACCCTAAGTATGATCCCTATTGTTTTTGGTGCATGCCCGACCCCCAGGGGCAGAGCCACGCCAATTCCTTATATTTATTTATTTGTTTGTCATCTACAGACCGCATTTCTTAACGTATCATCTTGAAACTATGTATACTTATTCTTTGTACCCCAAGGAACATCCCTATCGTTTGGGGTGCATGCCCGACCCCAGGGGCAGACCCACGTCCATTTTCTTTTCTTTTTATGTCTGTGTGTCGCCTATAGGCCACAATTCTTAATCAATCGTCTTGAAAAATTTTCATATGAATTGCTTATACCCTAAGTATGATCCCTATTGTTTTTGGTGCATGCCCGACCCCCAGAGGCAGAACCACGCCCATTCCTTATATTTATTTATTTGTTTGTCATCTACAGACGGCATTTCTTAACGTATCAACTTTACATACTTATTCCTTATACCCTAAGGATGATCCCTATTGTTTTTGGTGCATGCAAGCCTCCCCGGGGCAGAGCCACGCCCATTTTTTGTATTTGTTTGTTTGTCGTCTACAGGCCACATTTCTTAACGTATCATCTTGAAACTTTGCATACTTATTCTTTGTACCCTAAGGAACATCCCTATCGTTTTGGGTGCATGCCCAACCCCCAGGGGCAAAGCCACGCCCATTTTCTTTTTTATGTCTGTGTGTCGCCTACAGGCCACAATTCTTAATCAATCGTCTTGAAATTTTTTCATATGAATTGCTTATACCCTAACGATCATCCCTATTGTTTTTTTACCCCCAGGGGCAGAGCCACGCCCATTTTCTTTTCTTTTTATGTCTGTGTGTCACCTACAGGCCACAATTCTTAATCAATCGTCTTGAAAAAATTTCATATGAATTGCTTATACCCTAACGATGATCCCTATTGTTTTTGGTGCATGCCCGACCGCCAGGGGCAGAGCCACGCCCATCCCTTATATTTATTTATTTGTTTGTCATCTACAGATCGCATTTCTTATCGTATCACCTTGAAACCTAGCATACATATTCCTTCTATCCTAAGGAACATCCCTATTATTAGTGGTGAATACCCAACACCCAGGGGCAGAGCTACGCCCATTTTCTTTTTTTATGTCTGTGTGTCACTTGCAGACCGCATTTCTTAATCGATCATCTTGAAAACTTTTTTATACTTATTCCTTATAGCCTAAGGCTACTTTTTATACTTATTCCTTAATCCTAAGGCCGACCTCTATTATTATTTTTGGTGCATGCTCGACCCCTTGGGACAGAGCCACGCCTAACGTTTGTGTGTCCTGTGTTTTGCCTACAGACCGCAATTCTTAACAGATCCTTTTGAAACTTTGCATACCTATTCGAAACGTCATGCTTTTAGAATAAAGACATCGATTGTTTTAAAATAAAAATTGTGTTCTGTTAATGTGAACGAAGTGTTAAACTGATAGCAGTCCTACAACCCAGTTTTATTTCACAGACCCTCAATGCAAACTGGACCATATCAAACAAAACAGGAATGTGGACGTATATTGCTGCGTTAGCGATGCTCTTGTTGTTATTCTTGCTCGCAGAACACTACTGAGAAGTAACCAAAAGCTCAGCATACCTGACCTTGCCACTCGTTGCTGCTAGATGAAATGTGTCTTGAACAGAAATATGTTGATCTACCTTCAACTACACAGTGCAATAGTTTTCTAAAAGTCTTTGTTACGTCGTTCTATGAAATTAGCGGAATGGATGCCAATGAATAAAGTTTGGACATATCTTACTCATCAAGTGTTGGACATAAAATTGTCCAAAATTCTTGGCTACATTCGTCATTAAAAAAATTCTAACAGGCTGAATCTGATTTAAATATACTTGAAGCCAATAAAGTTTGGACATATCTTACTCATCAAGTGTTGGACATAAAATTGTCCAAAATTCTTGGCTACATTCGTCATCAAAAATATTCTAACAGAACAAAATTTTAGCTCAAGATTACATGCAATCAATAAAGATGCATACCTGTGAAGCTATGTCTATATCTATAATCTTCCTTCAATTGTGAAAGCAACATTCAAATCCCAACAAACACAAGCCACAATATAAAGTGACACAAGGTCAAAGAAAATTAGCCTAGGAATCTGTATTTTTTGAACATATTTGAATTTGAGAAAACAATGAATATCCATTTTTAATGTTAAACACAGAATTTCTCTGAACTGATAATGTGAACAGTGTTCAAAGACAAGATACATTTCATATGTTAACCAATCCACACACATAACAAGCAAAATAATAGTAGCCTAGACATTACAAGCATGGCCAAGACGCCATTTTGTCACATATTATTTTGATTGGTTTGTATTTTTGCTATTTTGGACAATTTTGATGGTTACACATTATTCTTCAACATACAGAAAGTAGAATGTTTATTTAAAATGAATACATGATCTACCTTTTATCTAATGAATACCATTAGAGAAAATTAAAGCAAAAATGAAAATAAAACACAACTTACCAATTTCCTCCTGGTCTTCCAATACCCAAGAAGGTATGGACTCAACTGCAGCTGCCTGATTGGCTGAAAATGGATCAGCTTACCCATAGATCATAAACAACCTTGACCTTTACATTATTAGGGAGGGAAATTCAATTATGAAGAAATACACGTATGGACACATATTGATGGACATACTGGGGTCCGAACCTTTCTTGGGTTTTTCTTCTGAAATACCCAATAATGTCATGAAAAACACATCCCAATTTCAGTTGTTCTTGGGTATACCCAACAAGTCCCTAAGTACCCAACAAGTGTCCATTGTACTAAAATTTGACCCAACAGATAGCCATTCGTCCGTCCATCCGTCCGTCACACTTTTTGGGACACAATAACTCTTCTTCTAACTGACCTAGAATGTTCAAACTTGGTGTAGGTGTTTATTAGGTCAATGCCTTAGGGTAAGCAAAGATAAGCAATTTGATTGGTTGATGCTTTGGGACACAATAACTTTAGTTCTAATTAAGTGAGAGTGATGAAACTTGGTGTATAGTTTTATTATATCAATACCTTGACTAAGTTCGATATTGAGCATTTTCTGCTTCGGGTAAGCAGGGCGATAAGCAATTTGATTGGCCGAGACGTTGTAACACAATAACTCTCCTTCTAATTGAGCTAGAATGTTCAATCTTGGTGTAGGTGTTTATGAGGTCAATGCCTTGATAGAGTGCGAAGATGAGCATTTTCTGCTTATGGTAAGTAGAGATAAGCAATTTGATTGGTTGATGCTTTGGGACACGATAACTTTAGTTCTTATTAAGTGAGAGTGATGAAGCTTGGTGTATAGTTTCATTACATCAATACCTTGACTAAGTTCGATGATGAGAATTGTCTGCTTAGGCTAAGGAGCAATAAGCATTTTGATTGGTCAAGACTTTGGAACATAACAACTCTGCTTCTAATTGAGGTAGAATGTTTAAACTTGATGTCTTGACTGAGTTCAATGATTAACATATCGAGTTAAAGCTAAGCAGAGATAAGCATTTTCCTTGGTCGATGCTTTGGGACAAGATAACATTGATTCTATCTGATAGAGAGTGATGAAACTTAGTGTATAGTTGATAATCAGTTTGATTGCCCCATACTTTTGAAAAAAAATAGATGTGCGATTAATTAATATGTGTCATCTATTTATTTGGGGATTTCGGCGGGGGACATCAGCCTCACTGTTGGCTTGTTAAGTGAGAGTGATGAAACTTTGGGACACAATAACTTTAATTCTAATTAAGTGAGAGCGAGGACACTCGGTGTATAGTTTCATTACATCAATACCTTGACTAAGTTCGATAATGAACATTTCTGCTTAGGGTAAGCAGAGTGATAAGCAATTTGATTGGTCGAGACTTTGGAACACAATAACTCTCATTCTAATTGAGCTAGAATGTTCAACTTGGCGTAGGTGTTTATTAGGTGAATGCCTTGATGGAGTTCGATGATGAGAATTTTCTGGTTAGAGTAAGCAGAGATAAGCAATTTGATTGGTTGATGCTTTGGGACACAATAACTTTAATTCTAATTAAGTGAGAGCGAGGACACTCTGTGTATAGTTTTATCTTGGGAAAAGATAACTTTGATTCTATCTGATAGAGAGTGATGAAACTTAGTGTATAGTTGATAATTAGTTTGATTGCTTGATACTTTTGAAAAAAAATAAATGTGCGATTAATTAATATGTGTCATCTATTTGGGGGGGGGATTTCGGTGGGGGACATCAGTCTCACTGTTGGCTTGTCTACATACTTGACGTAAATAAAGCAGAAGCACATATCGCACATGTAGAAAATGATAATATATTAATGTTATTGTTATATTGCAGAATATCTTGATATATTCATGTTATTGTAGAGTTTATTCATGTATATATGTTATTGTTATAGACAATGTTAATGTAGAGTAATGTTAATATATTAATATTATTGTATATTGTAGAGTAATGTTGGTATATTAGCATTATTAGATGAAGAATGTCTAAGACCCGGTAATACAACAGACAAAACGTTTTTGAATAAATTAAACCAAAGATGTGCTCAACATCCTCACTATGAGAGCAGAAGTTGTAAAAAAACCCAGTCAGATAAAAGTCTGTCACATGATGCGTTTAGGTTACGTCATTATGCTGGTAATGTAAGTATATTGATAAAGATTAGATTCCTAGTCAAACATTGCTCAATAATAAATTGTAATTGTATTCCATAGAATTGTATCCTTTGTATTTGCAGTTCAGTTACTACATGCCATTGAAACAATTTCAAATCATTGAGGGTATAAGACGTGGTGAAATATTTCCATTATTCTTCAAAAAAAGTAGGGGATATTTAGAAACAATACAAAACTGCGGAAATGCACTGCTGTTTTTATACGCCCACATTTTTATGTGGACTTATATTGTCGTCACCTCTGTCCGTCCACAATTGTTTGTGAATACTCTACAGGTTACAATTTTTATCCGATTTCAATGAAACTTGAAATATAGGTTTATCACCCTAAGATCTCGGTTCCTTTCGATATTGGCATGTATTGGACTGTAACTTCATGGATTATGGCCCTTGATGGTACGAAAAATCGCATTTTTAGCTTGTGGACCCCATAGAGGTCACAATTTCTATCTAATTTAAAAAAAACTGTTTGAATATATCACCGTTACACCCTAAGGATGGTTGAGTTCGAATTTCGTAAAAATCGGACCGAAACTGACTCACAAAATGGCCGCCCCTCGTTCGCAAATAGTGTCACAATATTGTGTATCAGGGTTGTGGACCCTCTGGAGGTCACAATTTTCATCTGATTGCTCTTTCGATATTTGTGCATATCAGACCACAACTTCCTGAATTATGGCCCATGGTTGTTTCGAAAAATCACGTTTTTAGCTTGTGGGCTCCATAGAGGTCACAATTTTTATCTGATTTAAAAAAACATTTGAATATATCACCGTTACACCCCAAGGATGGTTGAGTTCGAATTTCATGAAAATCAGACCAAAACTGCTTGACAAAATGGCCGCCCCTTGTACGCAAAAAGTGTAAACATCTGGTAAATCAAAGTTGTGGACCCTCTAGAGGCCACAATTTTGATCCAATTTTGATGAATCTTGAAACGCAAGTTTATAACCCAAAGATCTTGGTTCCTTTTAATATTCGCGCATATCAGATCGTAACTTGCTGAATTATGGCCTCTGATTGTACGCAAAATCGCGTTTTTAGCTTGTGGTCCCTCTAGAGGTCACAATTATTATTCAATTTAAAAAAACGTTCAATTATATCACCGTTTCACCGTAATGTTTGCTGAGTTCCAACTTTGTGAAAATCAGACTGCCAGACACAATGGCCGCCCTTTGTTCGCAAATAGTGTAAACATCTGGTAAATCAAGGTTGTGGACCCTCTAGAGGTCACAATTTTGATCTGATTTCGATGAAACTTGAAATACATGTTTATAACCCTAAGTTATTGGTTCCTTTCAATATTCGCGCATATCGGATCGTAACTTCCTGAATTATGGCCCTTGATTGTACAAAAAATCACAATTTTAGCTTGTGGTCCCTGTAGAGGTCAAAATTTTTATCAGATTTAAAGAAAAACGGATGAATATATCACCATTACACATTAAGATCTTGGTTCCTTTACTTAACTTCCTGGATTATGGCCCCTTTTTGTTTGAAAAATCACATTTTTAGCTTGCGTTTTCTCTAGAGGTCACAATTATTTTCCGAGTTTTATAATGAAGGTTGAATTCGTATTTCGTGAAAATTGAAATGAAAATGGCCGCTCTTTGTACGCAAATTGTGTAGAAGTGTGTAATACAAAGGTTGTGGACCCTCTAGAGGTCACAATTTTTATCCGATTTTGATGAAACTTAAAACATATCTTTATATCCCAAATATCTCTGTCCCTTGCTCATTTCAGGCTCCTCGTTGTACAATGAATCACGTTTGTTTTTAACTTGTTCTCTATCCATCTCTTGCAAAATGTGGGTGTATCCTTCCTGGCAGCCGCTGGTTATTAGAGGTAACCAGTATATGTTAATAACGGGCCAATTGCCTACACATGAACATAAATGGTTCATATGGGCGGCTTATCTGACGGCCCCATTTCACTCGCAAAGAGATACACTGTCTTAATAATGAGTAATTGCTCCACTAATCCTCAGACATCCAGCAATTCCATGGCATGCTCAACCGTCCAATCACGATTTGGGGCAATCTAACCCACTCTTCTTGCAGTGCCACAGCCAATTCCCACAGTGTTGTCGGTTGACATCGACGAACACATCTCCTGATCAAAGTAAACGTAACACACTAAAGCAAAGATACTCTAAACAGTAAATCTTATGCAAGAACCGACAAGAAAGCAAACATGGATAGATAAACCAGCACGCGGCAGTTTTCATCAATCCTTCCTTGAAGTGTCAAATTTGACAATGAACCCCTCCCACGTGTATGGCGCTATTGCGTGTCGCATGTGCAGCTCAGTGGTTCTGTTGGGGCGATAAGATCTTCATCTGTGAACATACTCTCAAAGCAAGTCAGTGTCCATGACTATTTATCATATCACAACCTGCATAGGTATTTGCATTTCAATATCCCCTACTTTTTTTTTAAGAGTATATAAAGTATGTCCCATTAAATTTGGACCTGAAAGTGTTGTATGATCTGAAGAAGCCTGCTGAATTTCATTAATTTCCCATGATTACTCCTAGGGTTAATTGCCTTTGTTCATTGAGAATCTTGTGAATGTTCTAGTGGCAAAAGTTATATAATCTGCTTAAAATTAATATGGTCATCTGATCTATTTGTATTTTAAATCATATTTATTATTCATTGAAACAGGTACTGTATAAAGTAGAAGGTTTTCTGGATAAAAATAATGATCTATTATTCCGTGATTTATCTCAGGCTATGTATGCATGTAAACATCCATTACTAAAGACCTTATTTCCAGAAGGTATGTAATAATTATGTCTGTAAGTGTAAGACTTAAAAATTGACATATTTTTGTTATGGAAAAAAAAAATTCACTGTAAACAGCTTCATTTGGGACATAGGTACAGTATTCAACAATCGATTGATTCATATGATTATTCATTTTTATACGCCCACATTGAAATGTTGTCGCCCCTGTCCGTCCGCTTCGCGGCCCGGTGTCCACAAGCACTATAGGCTAAAGTTAATATCCGATTGACTTTAAATTTATACACAGTTTTTAAGGTCATGAGTCGAAGAAGCCTATTGATTTTCGATAATTATGGCCCTTGATCACTTCAAAAAATCTTGTGGGCGCCCAAGAGGTCAAAGTTAATATCTGATTGACTGAGACGAAGAAGCCTATTGATTTTCAGCGATTTCCGATAATTACTGCCAGAGTTATGGCCCTTGATCACTTTGAAAAATCTTGTGGACGCTTTAGAGGCTGAAGTTAATATCCAATTGACTTTAGATTTATACACAGTGTTTAAGGTCATGAGACGAAGAAGCCTATTGATTTTCAGCGATTTCCGATAATTACTGCCAGAGTTAAGGCCCTTGATCACTTTGAAAAATCTTGTGGACGCTCTAGAGGCTAATGTTGATATCCGATTGACTTTAAATTGATACACAGTATTTAAGGTCTGAGACGAACAAGTATATTGATTTTCAATGAATCTTTATGACTTGAACAGCTAAATCCATGATGTTAAAACTTTCGTATACTAAACGTTAGCATGAGGCAGAACTTTATAAAAACCAAACAAATTCTAATGGTTTTCTGATAATTACTTAATGAGTTGTTACTCTTAATCAGATTTTAATGTATTATAAATGTTTCATTACCGAAAAAAGTATCTATCTATTGTTATGTCGAATCAGCACAATCGTTGATATTGTCGATTCAGTAGATTGTTGAACCTCTCCTACCTACTTCCTCCATGAACCATATCGATACGATCTATACATTTGTCGTCGATCCAGTCAACCCTTCCCCGAGTCTGTATTGTCCTTGCACGATCATATCATTCGAGCACTATCAATACGATCTATACAAGTTTCGTCGACCAAGTCAACCCCTCTCTTAGTCTGTATTGTTCTCGCACGATCGTATCGATAGTGTTCGATCGATTCGATCTATAGATGTTTCGTCGATCCAGTCAACCCCTCTCTGAGTCTGTATTGTCCTCGCACAATCGTATCGATCGAACTCTATCGATACGATCTATGCATATTTCGTCTATCCGGTCAACCCCTCCCTTAGTCTGTATTGTCCTCGCTCGAATGTATCGATCAAGCACTATTGATATGATCTATACATGTGTCGTCGAACCAGTCGATACAGTCAACCCTTTCCCGAGTCTGTATTGTCCTTGCACGATCGATACGATCTATACATTTGTCATCGAAGCAGTCGATCGAGTCAACCCCTCCTCGGGTCTAGAGGGTCCTCGCACGATCGTATCAATCGAACTCTATCGATATATACATTTGTCTATCAAGTCGATCCAGTCAACCCTTCCACCGGTCTAGTCTGTCCTCGCAAGATCGTATTGATCGAACACTATCAATACGATCTATATATGTTTTGTCGAACCAGTCGACCAAGTCAAACCCCTCCTGAGTCTGTATTGTCCTCGCACGATCATATCGATAGTGCTCGATCGATACGATCTCTAGATGTTTCGTCGATCAAGTCAACCCCTCCCTGAGTGTATCGATCTATACAAGTGTCGTCGATACAGTCAACCCTTCCCATAGTCTGTATTGTCCTTGCACGATCGTATCGATCGAACTCTATCGATACGATCTGTACATTTGTCATCGAAGCAGTCGAGCGAGTCGACCCCTCCTCGGGTCTAGAGTGTCCTCGCATGATCATATAAATCGAACTCTATCGATCTATACATTTGTCTATCAAGTCGATCCAGTCAACCCTTCCGCCGGTCTAGTCTGTCCTCGCAAGATTGTCCTCGCACTAATGTCGTTGTGTTGTTTATGCAAATGACGTCAAATAGTTTATGCAAATGACGTTACATAGTTATTTGGATAACGATGCATAGTGATGGAACAACATGGTACTTCGGAAAGGTGGCTGTTCATTCTTATTCTAATTGATTGAATGTCAAGGTTTGGGAATCATTCTGTTACTGTGAGTTTAAATTACAAAGAAGACCTAAATTGAGGACGATGATTTTTTATCTCACACTGGTAGATATTGCGCTAATTTAGGATTAGGATGCGTTTTGAAATTAGTTATTCAAATTTAAAAGCTTTACTTTTTGCTAATCGGCATTTTATAGAAGGAACTCCAAATAGATGGTTTTATCAAAATATGTTTCTACAAATTCTGTTTCCTTTGTTGGAGAATTGTGTGCTAACAAGAGATCTTTAAAAGCATTTTTGTCAGCAGATGAGCAATTGTGTAAATCAGTTATTGATTTAATCAGAGACGAATATAATTTCTTGTTAACTGATGTAATAATCTTGAATGGGACATAGATCTATTTAATAGTGTAGCCATCTTCGGTATCCCCAGTGTACTCGTTCTGTTCTACTCCACTATACCCTGGGTTAATCCATAGGGTTTCCACGATTTCAAATTATCTGCCCTGGCCTTGATTGTAGCTATAGTCTACGAACCAATCAAAAAACAGTTTACAAACCTGTCGTTTCGTCTTTGTTTTTATAAAGGTAGATAACCATATTCATGTCCATTTACTGAATGATTTATGTAAGTAATGTATATATTTCTAATTTATTTTTATTTAATTGTATTATCAAAATCTGTAGTATGTTTCGCTGATTTCAAGTATGTATAACATCTATATGTTTGACTTTTGTTATTATTATTACTATTCGTTCTTTGTCTGAAATTTTTCATTCTGTTATGTTTATTATTATTGAACTTATCCTTGGCAGTTTAATTCACTATAACTTGTCTACGATATCAGGTGGACATAAAACTCTGCGAAAGAACGAACGAACGAACTAACAAACGATTCTCAATAAAACTCTTGAACCTACATAAACGCACAGTCTTCATTGATATAATATTATATACTTTGTTGTTAATAAATACGCATAATTTGGACTTCTCTCATTTAGGCTAACTCCTAGCCTTGTCCATTGAGAGTTACTTCCCTTTGCGAACTTCCTTTCCAATTAACGATTTATGGGATTGGTCGATAAAAATAGCACAACCATCAAGGGCGAATATCTTGAAAACGTGTTGCCACCATAGATTAACCTAGGGGTTTGTGGAGTAGAACGGAATGAAACCACTGGGGATACCGAGGATGTAGTGTAGCTGGAAGTGAAAGAAACGGGTTTAAATTTATTATTGTAAAACCAACATTACTGCTTATTATGTTAAGGAAGAGTTGTAACAATTACAAAACCCAGTTTCCCTTTTATATATACAGAAAATGGATTGTTTGTTTGGTGCCAATTATACTTCTGAATGTCGTAACTGTGAAGCAAAGCCTAGATATAATGTTTCGTTTTATACAACTGCAAACGACGACAGAAAATGTAGATTCTACTACACAAAATGTGACATTAATAAAAGTAAACCAAAATATTTTTTAAGCTCTTCACAAACTGGATTTTCGTGTAGATACCTGGAACTTTGTTCTCACGAGATACATGTTATGGGTACATCATTTGAGTCAATGGTGGAAGAGGTATGGTTTATGTACTGCATGCAAGAAATATGCGGTAATGATAGATTGGAAATAGAGAGAAAAGCATCTGGATTAGTTAATATAAAAAAATTATGCGAAACGATGGTTGAGGTACGGTAATACATTACTGTAACTATTTAATAATAAATATGTCCATCTATATAGCGTCAAATCCACAAATCGTGCTCATAATGACCATTTTAACTATTTAGTAATTAATGTAAACGTTTATGAAAATTATTTAGTAATGTATGAAAAGAAAAGTAAACGAATCAATAGTAGTCTTATGTCAATATACCATATTTTGTATTTTTCACCATTAATTGTATTTTAGAAATTTGAAAATTTACAGAACAGATGGGTTACGCATACATGTGAAAGAAAAGCATGTGAGGAGAGTTATTGTTAGCTGCACAGAGATGTACACCCATAAGTCACTCACTCAAGCATTTATATTTCTTAGAAAAGTAGGCCAATTCTGCTGAAATACTGAAACTTTAAGTAGATTGTCTTATTTAATTATTTAGGATATGATAGGTAATGTGAGTTAAAATCATTTGTTAAAAAATTAAACGACTTAGAGGTTGATGGAGCAGAAGCACAATGCAATCAGTTGACTATTTAGTCAATATCTTTCATGTAAATAAACACACAAAAAATGTTGTATGCCCTTCAAAAATAACGATGAATCCGAATTCCAGGGGGCGTTACTTGTCCTTCGCACGTGGTACATGTAAATACGGTACCATGCACAGGTGTGATTCGTGTTTTGATAATCAATATATTACGGATATTTTAAAATCTGAATTCTACACCTCAATGGCGAAGAATGTGAATTACATCCAAAATTAGAGAAGTTTTCTGTTATTCATGGAGCTAATACAGAAAGCAAAGCTGTGAACAAGCTTTCAGAAAATTAAACAGATTTAAATATTCAACTACATGTAGAATGATGACAAGGAACAAAAGAAAAACATTTTTTATTATGATAAATAACGACCATAATAATCATATACAGGAAAAGAATAAATACCAAAAAACATGACACTAAGTTGTGTAGTAGATAAAGCCTGATATAAATCTATCTTAATGTTAATATACTTTATTTGATTTGTAAATCATATAATGTTATAATATTTAGCACATGAAAGTAACTATTAATTAGACATTTATTAACATGATTAGACCATAATCAAATCTCGGTGCTATCATATGGGTACGATTTTCAACAGATTTGAATCTGATATGCGGTTCAACGGCGGTTGATGATTTACCGTAAAATGGATAATCAAAACTTTGTTTATTATCGTAACAATGGTAACAGTGATAATTGAGGCTACAGTGTTATTGGTTATTGAAATGAGGATATTTCTCGGCTCGGGGTGAAGTGAGACTTTCATCATATTACCTTTGAATTATCTGTCAGATTTTTATGTAACCTTCCATAATGCCGTTTTGATATGTTCTATTATTTAGCACAATGGTTTACAGAAAGCTATACTGCGGTGTATTGAAAATATTGTTTAATGGAATGGATGTAACAAAACAATATGCCATATATTTAATTATGAAATTATTTAATTTCCTCCAAAAATGCTTTCTACTGTCTCGTTGGTTTGTGTTGGATGTATCGCTACAGGATATAGTACAAATAAAAGTTAATCAAGGGAAACTCGGGGCGCGTGATTTAAAATATCACAAAGCTCCATAAGGGCCTGGAGGTCGATATAGTTGTCGAATCAATTGATTGTCTTAAGTACAGCTGTAGAGCATCCACAGTGACGAGAGCCATCTGTGAAGAAAATTAATTTTTCGTGGAGAAAACACCAAGCTCTAGAACCTGTTCCAAATATTATGGGGCGATCCGCAAAACCCTCCGCCACAAGAATCTGTTCAAAATATTATTGGGGAGATCCCCCAAACCCCCAACCACAAGAACCTGTTCAAAATATTATGGGATAGATCCCCCAAACCCCCCACCACAGCAACTGTCCAGAATTTCAAAATAGTTCTGGGGGAGAACCCCAAATCTGGTCAATCTAAAAAGCAGTCTGTGACGATGGACAGTCGAATCCCTTAATTTAAAAAAAAAAATGCTGGGACGGAAATTACAAAGTAAGTGTGGGCAGACATAGAGTTGATTGGATAGATATCATGTTTACGATCGTATACCATTGTACACGACCGTAGAGTTGATTAGATCGATATAATGTGTACGATCGTAGTTGATTGGGTCGATAGAATTTGTACGATTGTGTACGACCATGGTGGTGCGTATCGATCGTATACCATTGATTGATTGGATCGATATCGTGTGTACGATCATATCGATCGTGTATGATCGTATACAATCGTACACGGCCGTAGAGTTGATTGGGTCGATAGAATTTGTACGATCGTATACGATCATGTACGATCGTGGTGGTGATAATATGCTCTATTGGATTGATTGAGTTGATATCATAGAGTTTTTGCAGAGTTGATATGATTTGCACATTCGTACTATGAATGAAAAGAGTTCATAGGGTTGACACAGTTGATAGGGTTGATACAGTTGATATATTTGTCTAATCAATCGATTGTCTTATACTGTACCATAATGTCATTTGGACAAAGGAGAATTGTGTTGACACAATGACTAATTTAACGGAAATCTTGTGTCAGTCTACCAGTTACTGTTGACTGCCCGGACGATATAGCTGCTGTGGGCGTATGTTTCGTTGCCTGGCAACCTATCTTTTAGCTTGTGGTCCCTCTTGAGCTAGGTCACAATTATTATCTGATTTTAAAAACCATTTGATTATATCACTGTTACACCCTAATGATGGTTGAGTTCGAATTTCATGAAAATCGGACCAAAACTGCCAGACAAAATGACCGCCCCTCTAGAGATCACAATTTTGATCCGATTTTAATGAAACTTGAAATGCATGTTAATAACCCAAAGACCTTGGTTCCTGTTGATATTGGCACATATCTGATCATACCTTCCTGAATTATGGCCCTTGATGTTACGAAAAATCGCTCTATGTTTAGCTTGTTCTCTATCCATCTCTTGAAAAATGTGGGCGTATCCTGCCTGACAGCTGCTGGTTATCTGATTTTGATGAAACTTGAAATGTATGTTCATAACCCAAAGATCTCGGCTCCTTTGGATTATGGCAAATATTGGACCATCTCTTCCTGAATTATGGCCCCTGATTGTACAAAAAATCATGTTTGAAAATGGTGTGATAGTCATGTGTGCAGAATTTCTTGAAGATATTTTCAGTAAAGATTTCAGTTGAGGAAGATTATTGAGCGCAAAAATGAAATAAAGTACACTGTAATATTTATATGCAGTAGTTTGTCATGATAATTTAGAGAGGGTTTATTGTCCATTCGACCACACTTTTCGAATTGAGGAAATACATCAAAATATTTATACCTTACGGTTTGATGTGGCAATAATATGGTAAATGTATTTTATTCTTCAAAATCTGTTTCTGAAATTAAGTTCCTTGTATTAAATCTCTTTTCTAAAAGGGGGGTTAGTTCAAACAATATTTTATTCAATAAGCTGAATTGGTTTGAAGGCCTATATAAGTTCTCTCCAAAAGGGGGGAGGGGGTGGATGGCTGAATGGTTAGCACATGCGCGCTGTACCATAAAGTCTGTCATTGAGTCAACTGGTGTGGTTTTGATTCGTCGGTTGTATGTTACAAGGAGTAGGGCCGCCTGTCCAACCTCATGGGTTTTCGACGGGTCCTCCAGGTTCCTCCCACTGCTAAAGACCTCTACCCGCAAGCGAATTATTGAAATAAAATTAAACCATATGTTAGTCCTGAAATGACCTAGTTTGTGTCGAGTGGACGTTAAACCCCATTTCTCTGTCTCTCTCTCTTTTCTAAAAAAAAAAAAAAAAAAAATCACTGCCTGAAGATTAGGCTACATTATGCCTTCTTGATGATGGTTTAAATCATTTTGAGATGATGTTTTGTTAAATTTAATCAGAAGATTATAATAATAATTTCAGGAAATCCTTCCCAAAGATCTTTCAAGAGACCAGTAACAGCAGGGTCACAATTCAAGGTGAGAAAAAAAATCATTACAAATATGAAACTTTTATGTTGTATTATGACAAATGTCCAATCTGATAGAAATCAAAAGGTTTCATTTTATTTTTGATGTTCTGCTAAATTGAAATTTGGATCATGTTGATATACTGGACTTCATTTTTATATGCCAACATTTTCATGTGGATGTATAGTGTCGCCACCCGTGTTTGTGAACACTCTACAGGTCACAATTTTTATCCGATTTCAACGAAACTTAAAATATAGGTTTATCTCCCTAAGATCTCAGTTCCTTTCGATATTGGCATGTATCCGACCGTATCTTCATGGAATATGGCCCCTGATTGTACGAAAAATCATCTATTTTAGCTTGTGGACCCTATGGAGGTCACAATTTTATTCCGATTTAAAAAACATTTGAATATATCACCGTTACACCTTAATGACGGTTGAGTTCGAATTTCGTGAAAATCGGACTAATACTGCCGGCCAAAATGGCCGCCACTCGAACGCAAACAGTGTAAAAATATGGTATATCAAGATTGTGGACCCTCTAGAGCTCAGCATTTTGATCCGATTTTGATGAAACCTGAAATACATGTTTATAACCCAAAGATCTTGGTTCCTTTCAATATTTGCGCAGATTGGATCTTAACTTCCTGAATTATGACCATAGACTGTACGAAAAATCGTGTTTTTAGCTTGTGGTCCCTCTAGAGGTGACAATTATTATCCGATTTAAAAAAAACTTGGGGATATATCACTGTTACACCGTAATGATGGTTGAGTTCGAATTTCGTGAAAATCGGATCAAAACTGATGGACAAAATGTCTGCCCCTCGTATAACGCAAATAGTGTAAATATGTGGTATATCAAGGCTGTAGACCCTCTAGAGGCCACAATTTTTTTCCGATTTTAATGCAACTATAAATTTATGCTTATATCACAAAAGTCTTGGTTCCTTTCGATATTCACACATATCGGATCGTAACTTCCTGAATTATGGCCCTTGATTGTATAAAAATTGCGTTTTAAGCTTGTGGTCCCTCTACAGTTAACAATTTTTATCCAATTTAAAAAAAGGTTTGAATATATCACCATTACACATGATGGTTGAGTTTGAATTTCGTGAAAATCGGAGCAAAACTGCTAGACAAAATGCCTGCCCCTCTCGTACGTATAACAAAGGTTGTGGACTCTCTAGAGGTCACAATCTTCACCCGATTTTGATGAAACTTGAAATGCATGTTTATAACCCAAAGATCTTGGTTCCTTTCGATGTTCGCGCATATCGGATAGTAACTTCCTGAATTATGGCCCCTGATTGTATGAAAAATCGCGTTATTAGCTTGTGGTCCCTCAAGAGGTCACAATTATTATCTGATTTAAAAAAAACGTTTGATTATCTGATTTAAAAAAAACGTTTGAATATGTCACCGATACACCGTATTGTTGGTTGAGTTCAAATTTCATGAAAATCGGACCAAAACTGCCAGACAAAATGGCCGTCCGTCTACACAAATAGTGTAAACATCTGGTATATCAAGGTTGTGGACCCTTTAGAGCTCATAATTTTGATCTGATTTTTATGAAACTTGAAATGCATCTTTATAACCCAAAGATCTTGGTTGCTGTCGATATTTGCTCATATCAGATCGTAACTTCCTGAATTATGGCCCCTGATTGTACGAAAAATCCTGTTTTTAGCTTGTGGTTCCTCTAGAGGTAACAATTATTATCTGATTTACAAATATTTTCAAATATATCACCGTTACACCGTAATGATGGTTGAGTTCGAATTTCGTGAAAATCGGACGAAAACTGCCAGACAAATGGACGCCCCATTACCATGAACGTAGCCGTGAAAAATATATTTGGGGGGGGGGGGGCGGGCGCAACCCTAACCCCTAACCCTAACTCATTTTTAAAACCTCTAACCCTAACTCATTTTTAAAACCCCTAAAAAATATAAACAAACACCACGTGGCCATGTTGTCTACCAAGACACCGCATGCAAAAGCATTATGGTTACGTTGCTGGCTGAGCGGGCGATAAATATTTGGTTTAGGCGATGATTTTGGGTACCTACATGCGATTCACTCTGATAAGTGGCCGAAAAAAATTAACAAAATATTACTGGCAGGCTAACTAGACACAATTTAATGGAACACAGTTACTTTTCACTTCACACATGTTTCCAGGATGATTCGCTCTGTGTTTTATTTTAGCAATGTAAACAATATTGGGATATGCACAGGTTTTATACAGATAGAATCTTAACTAATCCTAATAATTGTTGTAAATAAATAGGAGTTTGGGCCTACTATGTAAATTTGGGGGGGGGGGGGGGGTACAAGTATATTCAGACCCCCCCCCCCCCCCCCCCCCGAAAAACAATTGGGGGGGTCGGACCCCCCCGGATCCCCCCATGTGTGACGCCATGCCCATTACGCAGATAGTGTAAACATCTGGTATATCAAGGTTGTATACCCTCTAGAGGTCACAATTTTGATCCGATTTTAATGAAACTTGAAAAGCGTGTTTATAACCCAAAGATCTTGATTCCTGTCGATATTCGCACATATCTGATCTTACCTTGAGAAATGTTGGCGTATCCTTACACGTAAATAAAACTTTACACACTGAACTTGTGTGTAATAAAAATCAATATTAAACTTATTTATGAATAATATACTTGTTTATTTTACAGGTTTCTGTAACAGAACTAATGAAGAATTTGTTATCTAAAAATCCTAATTATATTAGATGTGTGAAAGTAAGCTTATCATTTAAAATCTTTTAGGCACCGGGACTCTGTTTCATAAAAACTTAAGGTAAAATCACTAAAATAGATTTTTTTTTAACTAAAATCAAAATGAAATTTTAAATTTTCTGCGTTTGACGAAGATCGACTGTAACTTAAAGATACATTATGGGAGATTCGATAACGAGTTGGCAGTTCTCACTATACTTGTTAAAAAATAGATAATGTAAAGGCAATTTGCTTAAAATTTCATTCAAATTGATCCACTATGAGAGAGAGAGAGAGAAATGGGGTTTAACGTCCACTCGACACAAACTAGGTCATTTCGGGACTAACATATGGTTTTTTAATTTTATTTCAATAATTCGCTTGCGCGTAGGGGTCTTTAGCAGTGGGAGGAAACCGGAGGACCCGGAGAAAACCCACAAGGTTGGACAGGCGACCCTACTCCTTGTCACGTACAACCGGGGATTCGAAACCACACCAGTCGACACAATGACAGACTTTATGATACAGCGCGCGCACGCTAACCATTCAGCCATCCAACCCCCCTTGATCCACTATGAACCGAGAACAAAGCGATTGAATTTCCGCCTAGCCTTGATCATCATTACTAAAGTCAGTACGATAAACAGCATAGTCTTGATTATCCATTTAAATTTTTTCTGCGTTTGACGAAGATCGACTGTTACTTAAAGATACATTATGGGAGATTCGATAACGAGTTGGCAGTTCTCACTATACTAGTTAAAAACTAGATAATATAAAGGCAATTTCCTGAAAATTTCATTTAAATTGATCCACTATGAACCGAGAACTAAGCGACTGAAATTCCCATAAGCCTCGGTCATCATTACTAAAGTCAGTTCGATAAACAGCATAGTCTTGATTATCCATTTAATCGTTAAATCGTGAAGGAAAGTTATGCAGTAAATCGGCTCACAATCCATTAAAGATCACAGACTAGCGATGCCATCTAGAGTTGATTATGGCCTGGATAGGTTAATTAATGTCTAATTAATAATTTAGATAACATTTCAGGCCTAAAGAAAAACCTGCAATAGACAGATTTAGCTCTTGCATAATGTATGTTTAAGAATGAGTTTGCGAGAGAATCATGCAAAATTTAAAAAAATAACGGCACAAGCCGTGTCGGGCGATTTTGACCAAACTTTGCAGATTTGGTTATTGGGTACCCCGTATACCCCACATGAAATATGAGGGTCACCAACATTGTAGTTACGGAGAACCAGTTATAGCCATTTTAGAGTTTTAAAAAACGACATTTTTTAAAAAAAAGTTCCCTAAATTCAAATATTTCCCATAAATTACCTATTGATTTTTTATACGCCCACATTGAAATGTGGTCGTATAACCCAAAGATCTCGGTTCCTTTCGATATTCGCGCATATCGAACTGTAACTTTCTGAATTATGGCCCCTTATTGTACGAAAAATCGCGTTTTTAGCTTGTGGACCCTATAGAGGTCATAATTTTATTTCAATTTAAAAAAACGTATTATTATATCACCGTTACACCCTAATTTTTATCCGATTTTGTTTAAACTTGAAATGTAAGTTTATAACCCAAAGATCTTGGTTCCTTTCGATATTCGCACATATCGGAATGTAACTTCCTGAATTATGGCCCCTGATTGTACGAAAAATCGCGTTTTTAGCTTGTGGACCCTATAGAGGTCATAATTTTTATCTGATTTAAAAAAACGTATTATTATATCACCGTTACACCCTAAAGACGGCTGAGTTCGAATTTCGTGAAAATCGATCGAAAACTGACAGACAAAATGGCTGCCCTTTGTTCTCAAATAGCGTAAATATATGGTATATCAAGGTTGTGGACCCTATAGAGGTCACAATTTTTATCCGATTTTGTTGAAACTTGAAATGTAAGTTTATAACCCAAAGATCTCGGTTCCTCTCGATATTCGCGCTTATAATTTGTAATTTCCTGAATTATGGCCCTTGATTGTAGGAAAAATCACTTTCTTTTTAGCTTGTTCTCTATCCATCTCTTGAAAATGTGGGCTGTTCCCTGCCTGGCAGCCGCTGGTTAGCTTGTGTTACAGAGGGGATTATTTATCAATATATATTTAAGATTTATGGAAACCTTATTGAAAATCATTGGTCTTCCCCTTTTAGTTAAAATTGGTTTTAATTACAAAGACTATTGTTTTTACTAAAATTATTATTATTTTTTTTCCGCAGGAGCCTATTTCTCCATGATCGAAAACAGATATCGATCTGGAACAAAATTTTCAATCGGGGAAAATTTGACCTACATTTTTAGATACCTGAAGTCCATCTGATTCCAGTAATATAAGTTTCATCTGAGTTTTCGCCCTTTATTTTTCGATTTTTTTAAAAAAATTTCTGCCCATTTTCCAACCCTTATATTTTTTTTATACGCCCACATTTTCATGTAGACGTATATTGTCGTCGCCCCTGTCCGTCCACAATTGTTTGTGAACAGTCTACAGGTCACAATTTTTATCCAATTTCAACGAAACTTGAAATATAGGTTTATCACCCTAAGATCTCGGTTCCTTTCGTTATTGGCATGTATCGGACTGTAACTTCATGGATTATGGCCCCTGATTGTACGAAAAATCACATTATTAGCTTGTGAACACCGTAGAGGTCACAATTTTTATCAAATTTGGTTTAAACTTGAAATGTAAGCTTATAACCCAAAGATCTCGGTTCATTTCGATATTCGCGCATATCGGACTGTAACTTCCTTAATTATGGCCCCTGATTGTACGAAAAATCACGTTTTTAGCTTGTGGACCCTATAGAGGTCATAATGTTTATCCGATTTAAAAAAACGTAATGTTATATCAACGTTACACCCTAAGGACGGCGGAGTTCGAATTTCGTGAAAATCGGCCCAAAATTGACAGGCAAAATGGCCGCCGTTCGTTCTCAACTAGCTTAAATATATGGTATATCAAGGTTGTGGACCCTATAGAGGTTACAATTTTTATCCGATTTTGTTGAAACTTTAAATGTAGGTTTATAACCCCAAGATCCCGGTTCCTTTCGATATTTGCGCATATCAAATTGTAATTTCCTGAATTATGGCCCTTGATTGTAGGAAAAATCACTTTCTTTTTAGCTTGTTCACTCTCTGTCGTATGATGCCCCTTTCATATGGATACTATCTCAAAAACTTAAAGTGCACATAAGATGGGCTTGGGAACTTTTCGATACGCGTAGCCAATGGTTACTATATCAACTTTTACGGCAAGTTCACACCAATCTGATTGAAATTAATTCAGTTATCTTCACTGGTGGTGCGTAACAAATGTGGTGTTTTGATACTTGATTGGGGCCATAAAGTAATAAACTAATTAGCAAGCTACACGCATATTATTTATTTCAACCAAAATGTGTATTAGAAGTTGCTGTCTGGATTACGGTTGTTAATTTTGTTTATAGATTTATTAATTGACTGTTTTCGCTAACTTAAAAAATCGTGCAAACTGAAAAATAAGGTAATTTATGGTTAAAACTTTTTATAGCATGTAAATAGAATACATACAAACGTGTATAGTAAAATTTACTGCAACCAGTAACAAACTATCTCTTTTATGGAATAATCTACCATTTAGTTTAAGATGTTGTACATATCTATATTCTTTAAAAAAAAAAAATATTTAAAACACAGTTATTTAAACAGGCTTTTAACTGACGCTACATGTCCATAATCTTGATTTTTTTAAGATTAAATTGTCACTTTGTAAAGTGTCCCTAAGTAAGTTACATGGACGGGTGCACTATAATAATATATAGTAACAAAATTTCGATTTATAGTATTAATATTACTTTGTCTCCTTTATTTGCAAAACATCTCTCCGATGATAATAATAAATTTGAATTACTTCTCCGTACCAGTTGGAAACGTAATTGTCTAAGGTCTAAATGAAATGTGAAGTTTAATCAAAAATTACAATGCGGTTTGTTTCAAAGCTGCTTTCGCTGGGGGTCACGATGTCTAATTGGGTAAGACGCTGGCTCGCTAGCCTGGAGGTCGGGTTTTTGATCCCTGCATTAGCCGAGAAATTTCATCCAGATATTCCTGCTTGATTCCCCCTTGTAGGTAATGCAGGATGGAAGATCTGACAAGGACAGCTGTCAGTTCTATTTATACATGTAGAGGCGTGCACAAGCTTATTCGGACGTATTGGAACACTGTTCGGTTGCTTTATTTGAGAAAATACTGATATTAAACTATAAAATTTGTCAATTTTTTTTGTTGAAAATTCTGATAAATTGGTAGCTCTTCAGGAAGCGTTGATCATATCGCCTACCCTGTTTGTGTATTGTATGTTTTTATAATAGCTAGCAAATAATTTATGATATTTTAATACTTTCTGACGGAGGATCTGACAAGGACAGCTGTCAGTTCTATTTATACATGTAAAGGCATGCACGAGCTTAATTGTACGTATTGGAAAACTGTTCTGTTGCTTTATTTGAGAAGATACTGATATTAAACTATAAGATTTGTCCCCCCAAAAAATTTAAAATTCTGATAAATTGGTAGATCTTCGGGAAGCTTTAATCATATCGCCTACCCTGTTGTGTATTGTACGTTTTTATAATAGCTAGCAAATAATTTATGATATTTGAATACTTTCTGAAAGAACATAATTATAGCTTGTTATAGTTGTTCGGATGGGAAGAAAAACCAAGGTCCCTTGTACACATTGCCGTGCACGTAAAAGATCCCTTAGCAATTGGTATTTGATATAAGAATAGGCCCTAGTGCCGCTGTCCGGGCAAAATTTCCCTCATAGCACACTGTATGGCATATGCCCGTCTTCATTAGCCCAGTACGGAGCAGAACAGTAGGATGTTAAACCCCATTTCATTTCATTTCAAAGCTGCGTTGGGCTGTTCATCTAATTAATGTGATTTATATTTGATATCTGTGATTGATATCCGACTATCATAAAAAAAAATGCCCTATTAAAAACTAACATCTTTCAG